CCATTTTAAATTAATTTTTTAGTAAATATTTCTTTAATTAAAACTTTGATACAAATGTTAATACTTAAATTTATTTTTATTCGCGATCTACTATATCTTTAAATAAAATCTGTTTAATCAAGTTGCGCATTTTCGCGCCTAAATGTCAGTGAAATTACGTCGATGGAATATAACAAGGAAAACATATTTTACTGCTTTGTTAACATAACTACGTAGCTGTAAATTGAACAAATGAAATCACACTTTAAAAATGCTTACAATACAATTTGGACAATGTGGGAATCAAGTAGGACATACATTATTCTCAAAAATATCATCTGATCTGGAATGTGTAAATACAGGTGTATCGTATAACGCTAATTACGACTATTCAGAAGATACATTTAATAAATGGTTTAGTGGTATATCTAAAGATAATAAACGCTTAGCAAGAGCAGTTCTTGTAGATACAGAACAGAAGGTTATACACAAAGTTTATAATGAGATAAATGCTCCATGGACATATTCAACTAAAAATGTAATTTGTCAAACTGAAGGGGGTTGCGCAAATAATTGGGCATTTGGTTATTTAAGAAAAGGATATGAGTTGAGTGATGTGATATTAAATTGTATAAGACAAGAAGTGGAAGCCTTAGATCATTTTGATGGATTTCTTTCATTTCTTAGTTCTGCTGGTGGTACAGGTTCTGGTGTTGGAAGTTATATTACAAAATTGTTGCGTGAAGAATATGACAAAAAATCAATTATTACCACAACAATATTACCATTTTCATTTGGTGAAGTGTGTACACAAAACTATAACACATTGTTAACTTTGGCAAAACTTTACAATGAAAGTGATGTAAATATTGTAATAGAAAATGAACAAATATATAGTATGTGCACAAATTTATTAAAGAAAACATCTACAAATTTACAAGATATGAATGAAATTATTTCAGAAAAGTTATTGGCTGTGTTGCAACCAATAAATCATGTCAAATATAGTGTAAATTCATTGTTGTCTAAAATAGCATGTCATCCTTCTTATAAAATAGCAACAATCAAGAGTACTCCACATGTACCTACAACATCTGCAAAGTATGAACCAATATGTAATTGGAATTTATATGTACGTCATTTAAAACAAACACTTAGAATACCACATTTAAATTCACAATTAACTGATGTGGAACTAAAAAGGCCATCTAGTTCATTAAGTAACACCATGCATCATGCATATGCCTGTTCAGTATCAAATATTCTGGTAACACGTGGAATAACAACACAGGAAGATCTAATCATGACCAATGAATTTAGAGAAAAACATCTCTATGCAGAATGGAATACAATTGATTGGTTTTCTCATTTGCATCAAAATCGAAAATTTTTAAATTATAAAAAATTTCTTGCCTTGATAACTAATAATTCTGAAATTTCTTATCCTTTGGACACACTTTTAAGTAAAGCTTGGAATACTTATGTTCATTCTGCATATTTACATCAATATAAACAATTTGGTTTAGAAGAGGATGACTTTTTACAAGCATTTGCAGTACTTGAAAATGTTGTAAAAGAATATAAGGAATTAGTTCCTTATGTAAAAAAAGAATAAATTATAATTAGTTTAATTCTCTATTTGAAATTTAATAAATACAAGTTTAATTAACAATGTTTCATTCCAAAATGGCCTTTTAAATTTTTATTTATATCAAATTTGCAAACTTTCAAATATTAGAAAAAATTTAAGATTCTCCAATGCTTCTGCAAATTAATAGAAAATATGAACTAGGGTAAAAGATTCAAATATTTGATATGTAGAACTGAAAAGCATCAGTGAAGGGGTAACTATGACGTCATAATAAAATCGACCAACTTGCGACGCTACGTATGCATATCAAAAGACGCAACGATGACAAAGAGAACATAAAAAATGGAAAAGAATAGAAGAAAATTTCTCAGAAGAAAAGTAAAACGTAACAGACCGAGATTGGGTTTTAGTTTAACTTGGAAAGAGTAAGACAGAATAGAATGAACTACTCTGCTAATACACATCTCTCGTACTATGTGAAAAATTATGTTCTACGCCTGTGCAAAGAGGCGGCCAAATCCGTCGAACATAATGCAGAACGAAAAAGTTCTGGCCATTTCCAAGAAATAACGAAAATACTTCTAGGAATTGGTGGTCATCTTTTCTCCCCTTCTCGTACGTTCATCCAAGGGGAATCGAAAGAATAGATTTCTCGAGGATGCTTTCACATTATACAACATCACCGCTGACATAATTAAATATTACGATCTACATATTATTATACATTTATAAACATATTAATAAAATTATTACAATCCACATCTATTTATTTGTCATTTTTTAATAATCTTTCACAAACGTTAAAAATTTTACAATAACTGCAAATAAATACATTTTGTTGCATCTCTTTCAATGTTTATGCAAAATACCTATTCTTAAAAATAAACTGAGGGTAAAGACAGATTCGAATGTTATTCCTAATTTTTATACCTATAATTTTACAGTATTTTGAAATTTCTAAATGAAATGCTCTACATAAGATGTCTCAAGGTCTTAATTTTAGACATCTTATGTAAAGGTAGAAAAAAAGGAAGGAACCTATAGCGTGGGGAATACTATATAAACAACGACAGATGCAGTGTCCACACCATTCTCTAGCATCGGTCAAGCGTTGCAGGTACAGCTACGATTGTCAGAAACTCGTTTGCTGCCCCTTCATCGCCCCCACTGCATGTCCTAACTATTGAGCTCCTTCAAGATTAAGTATACCCCACTACTAATCTTCTGAATCTGACGATAGTGTGCGTTGCCAGAAAAAAAAGCCAAGTTTTCTGCATACAATTTAATTACATATGTTTCAAGATATAAGCTATAGCCAACACAGAATTCATAAAATCTTTTTTTTTCTTTCGATTCAAGGAAGAAGATAGTATTCCAGAGCTTTAAGCTAGCGACTTTTCATAATGCGGGGTTGAAGGAAGTAGCGTGTATAGCAGCAGCGCCATCTAGCATACACAGGGACGCATATATATAACTTCTTCGAAAGCATTAGCCCTTTCAAGATAATTTTTTAATAACGCACTAATACCTATACTGTGTTGTTCACTTCCAAAAAACATATACTCAATAGTTAAATTATTATAGCTATCGTGACAAAGAAAATACAAAAGTATGTCGATTGAACGTTGTTTTCTATTGCTGGATTCTTCCAAAGTGTAAGTGCGTCCCTGTAAACCTGCGCACGAAACATACACAACACAATACGCAATAGTATATGTGTGCGCGACTCGAATACCAAGAGGCGTGGTTTGAATAGACGGACCTGTTCAGTACTTTGTCCCCCTCTGCTAGGTACAGAGCTGTCGTCCTTACACACACAGAAAACAGGCGCACTCTGGTGTCGAAGTTGTAGACGATGGTACGCGCCATTTTGTTTAGTGTCCATTGGACGCATCGTGCGTCGGGGTCTTACGGGGTTGTTTTCATGACTATCAACGAGAATAGATTCGCGGCTCTTTGAGCTCGCTTACAAATCGGAACGTATATAATAGTGTTTCAGTTTCGATAGTGTAATACGTATATATCCGTATGCATCATTATTGTGACGTGCAACACAAGGATACGTTTTTCGTGAGAGTTGAGGACTCTTGTGCTTACAGTGTCAGCCTCCGCAGTCGCAAAGACTTTGCAAATGTATGGCGCCAGTTACAACTTTATGGATACTTCATAGGGAATCGTCACTGTCGCCGTCGCTGTCGGCAGATATTTTTTCTACAGGTAAAGGAAGAGGGGTAGCCTGTACTAAATCGATAATGTGTCTCCCATATTCTCTTACTCTTCCTTACTTCAAAACACTAAAGTTTTCATTCGTATTGTCTTATCGGAATATTTAACGCTTCATGCTTCGACGAGTTTTTCGTACCAAATGTCGTGCGCCCTAACCACGGTAATGTCTCGCTTGTGCAAGTTGCTCGAGGAAAGTGAAAGCTTGCGTTCCCCATCGTTCTGCACTGAGTACGGATCTCATTCCGTCCGCCTGCTGCGGTGCGCGTATATCGCGGCGGCTGTTTTCGTCTTTCAGAGATGAAGACTTGCGCCGCACTGTCGGCACTTTGAAGTGTAGTCCGATTACCTCTTTAGTAAACGCGTCCATTACTTTTGTATGAATGAGAAAAGGATGCTTTTGAATAGGGGTAGTCGAAATGGAAATAGGTTTTCAGATTAATTCATTCACTTCGAAATGAAAGGATCTTTGTTATTAACAATGTTAACATTCGATTCTGAAAAATAGTTTTAATTGATTCTAATTGATTTCACTTTTCTTCGACATCAGTAAAATATTAAAATTGTGTACTGGTGTATGAAATAAAAATGATATCTAATTTATACTTTGAGGGAAATAATAATTTCGAAAGAAACTTTTATTTCCCAACTGATTTTACATTTTCTAATATTATATACCATAAATTTTGTCGAAAAAAATTAATATTAAACGTACTCGTTTCTAATAAAAATTACGCAACAAGTTCAAATCTTCCATCGTGTTTTTGTAACATATTTCTTTTGCTATATTACACTACGTGTCCTTGAACAGGTAGATTATATTCAATTTCATTTCACTCGCATTCGGAAAAGAAATAGTGCTCAGACTGAATTTTTTCGAAATATTATGGAAACATCGATTGTTTAGAACTAAATTAAAACGACGAGTGTACCGATCACTGATACTATATAGACAGCATCGCGATCACTCAATTTATCGGGTGATTTCAACGCTAGGTTGTGCAGCAAAACTGGGTACAGGATATTGCTCTAATGAAATAGATAACCCGTGTATATTATACACACACTAAATTTCGTTATTACATAAACGTATACGATTTCCCAATTAAAGTGATGCAAATACGTATAAACAGCTAGCTTAGATTAAGCTTACACTATATTCGATACATGTAAAATAACTTTATTTGTAGTAAGGTAATATCTTGTTAACATTTCGTTTATATATATTTTCTCCACGTTATTCATTTTATCGTGCAGATTGTATTTCGTGCGTTTGAAACGGCAGCGAAACTGAAATTCCTTCCACCTCTAACCCTCGTTGCATCTCTCCCCAAGGGGGAATCGCGTTCGTTTAACCGGAGCGGGGGTGTGTTCGTATAAATAAGTCACCGAGTGCAGTGACGGAAAGATTATCGCGTATTTTATGCATTTCTTTTTTATTTTTTTTTCTCTACTACAACAAATTTGTTCGCTACAGAAACAAAGAATTTCAATTAACAAACTGTACTTCATTCTTGCATCAAACTTATTATTTCACGACCTCGATATTGGAAAGTATTTTTAGATTATTCTATAAAACCTCGCGATAGTTCTTCCCGGTATAATAAAGTCACACATACACACATATACACGTACACACGTGGTGTACATATGACAATCACTTAAAGGGTTGAAGCTGACGTAATATATTCTGTTAGCTTTATTAAATTTGTCGCTTCAACGTTAGGCATCTTCTCGGTGATATACCATAACCTGATACCTTCTATACCTACTACTTTAAAACTTCTTATATTATAATACACCTGATGCAACATTTAAACATCCGTATCATTACTTGTTTTTCAATTCACGTTTGCTTGTACAGCGAGATTATGATGGCGCCGCGGTCAGCAAAGCGACAAATCAGGCTAGACAATGAGCACCCCTCTCTCATTACGATTCGTTCTTCCCCAACTTTACCCACAGGAGTAGCCTGTTTAAGGAACGAAGGGTGCAACGTGTTCACTCATTTGGAACATCGATCTGTTAACTCTGGTAAAAATTTTGCACGTAACCCCTTTCGTTGTATCAAGCGAAAGTTAGCGTTCACGAAGGGTATCGTTGTAATGAAGAAATATATCTTGCGTGAAATAAAAATTTGAAATAAATTATACGATTGTCTAAATGATATTACGAAGTATATATTATCGAAATTATTTCTATTATATTCGTTATTCGAAGCACATTGCCGCCAGTAAATTTCGAAGGTTTCAGTTTGGGGAGAGGAGGGGTTGTTCCTAATAAGTTTGTCCTTACCTAGACCTCAGCACAGGTGTTTGAGATTAATCCAAGACACGCCTACGAGTGACTCACTATACAAAACTCCGTATTCTTTTTTTCTTTTCGTGGCGCGAAAGGGTGCCAGTTACGTTTGAACCAGTACCTGATAGAAGTTTTTACAGAACCGGTCGTATTTTTAATTAATCCCTTGTTCTGTATCTTTGTTGTACTGTGTGCATAACGCAAAAATCTTACGATTTAAAAAAAAAATCATTTGCTAAATTTATCTGGAGCTTTTATTGAGAGAAAAAACTTTTTTTTGTACAAATTTGTTAAATCTAATGAAATTTTCCATCTTGCCCTTCGTGCTTATTCATTTTTTCTAACCATGAAGTACACTTAATCGTGCTGTAAAAATGCCAGTACCGCGATCTGGTCTGACCTAAGGAATCTGCACGAAAAATAAAACCACGGTTAAGTTTGGTATGTGACGGCCACATACCACGCCTCTTACTAGATCGACATTCCATTGAACCCAACCT